TTTCCTAATTCTTTATTATTCTTATTCGAAAGAAAGCAGGATAGATATAGCCTGTTCTGAAATGGGCTTGTAATCAAAGAGAGCTATGAATGCATTAATTCTTGTAGATATAATTATAAATCATGAGTATAAATTAAATTTAATGTGTTATTAAAAAGATACTTTTAATAGAGATAAAAACTCGGAAAAAATTCACGTAAAATGAATTTGTATTTAATGTCGACATTATAATATTCTACCAAAGTAATCTTTCACAAGTGAATGAATATCTTCTACATTGCATTAGCAAATAGCACATTTAGTGAAATATCTGAGAGTGGCATCTATCTGTGAGTTTCTAATAATTTCTATCTGTGAGTGGCATTCATTTTAAAGAAATTCTATCTGTGAGTAGCAATTATTTTAAAGAAAATTTCTGTGCATTGCGAAAGAATCCGAAAATGGTCCGTCTTCTTTTTTTCATCAAACACATAAAGTAACTATATTAGAAGCTCTAGAGGGAAATTGCGAAATTTTTCGTCTTCAGCTGAATTCTGAAATATGTGCTTGTGGGATTTGCCTGCAAACGAAGAAAGTTCTAAGAAATTTTTGCAGGAATATAATATTTTGCCACAAAAACTAAAATGTTCAGATTCTCATTTTATGATGTTGCATTTTTTAAAATAACCGCTTTAGAAATGCAGCGTGAAAAAGTGTAACGAAGGCGTCGGCATTCAAAGCGGTAACTGGTTCGAGAACACTCATCTGCTATTTATTGCAGCACTCAGATTTATATACTGCTGGATTAAAGAATTAACACACGTGTTAAATTTTGCTTAGAAGTGTTAGAAATGGTCGGTAAGACTATGGTAGACTAAAACAATTACATGCAGGAGATACAGTTTGTAAGTAGTTTTATAAATTGTTTTCTTGGATAAATATCGAACTTAAATTAAAATGTGTACTTAATTCTACTACGAAGGTACGCCCTGTATTTGATGCTTCGTGTAGAAGTAAGAACTCACTTTCGCTCAACGACTGTCTAGAAACAGGACCAAATCTTATCGAAAATTTTCTCCATCACTTATGAGATTTCGTCAGAAAGAAATTGGTGTAGTTTCAGATATAAAAAAAGCCTTTTTAGAGATATCTGTGGACAAAGAAGACCAAGATTTTCTTAGATTCATATGGTGGGAAGATTATAAGGAAAGAAAAAAAAATTTATCGTCACCGACGAGTAGTGTTTGGACTTACGAACAGCCCTTTCTTGCTAGCTGCCGTTCTAGATTACCATTTGAGACAAAATGAAAGCCATTTTCCTGAAACCGCAGAAAAGCTGAAGAATGCATTCTATGTGGATAACTGCATAACTTCGGTAACTAGTCAAGATGAACTTAAGAAATTCATTTTTGAAGCAAAACAGATTTTGGCTACAGGTTGTTTTGATTTAAGAGGTCCAGTCTAACATGGTGACCGTATGATGTGATATTAAAGGTACGTTATTTTGAATTACCTATTATTCTGAAAATGGAATTACTTGTTAAAAAACGCTCTTCTATAAGAGCTAACTTCACAAAGTGTTTTATTGGTGTAAATGACTTATTAAAGGAAGATAATGTTAAAGAAGAGAGCATTAGATCCAACTGAAGAATAATTTACGTAGAATTTATTCTCAGCTAACTTTATTATTAGAAGATAAAGACGATAAAAAATATCAGAACGAGTACGCGATAATAGAAGAATATAATGAAAATTTCGTAAATGTAGAAATGTATTTAAACAGAATTTCTAAAAATCGAAAGTTGTGTTGATTCTTCGCCTGTTCGAAAACGAAAGTTAAAGTTACCGGAGATCAAACTTTTGAAATTTGAAGGGGAAATCAAAGATTGGCTTGCCTTTTGGAGCCAGTTCAAAAGAATACATGACGATGAAAGTATTGCGAAAGAAGATAAATTTCAATATTTAATTCAATGTATTACTGAAGCCTCTAGAGCTCGCAATGTTGTCGATAGTTACCCACCGACATGTGAAAATTAGGATAAAGCTATTGCATGTTTAAAATCAAGATTCGGAAGGGAGGAATTACTAATTGATTTTTATATACGCGAACTTTTAAATCTTGTTGTAAAATATTTTACCGAAGAAAAAAGAAAGTTACACACATCGAAATTAGATGATAAATTAGAATCGCATCTAAGAGCGTTGGAGTCCATAGGCTTAACATCTGATACATATTCCGCTATACTTTTCCCTCTTGTAGAATCGTGTATTCCGGAAGACATTTTTAAAGTTTGGTTAAGAAACCCTATAGTTAACACCAAATTCGATTCTTCTGAAGAAAATGCTTATGGGGAGAAATTAAAAAATTTATTATTGTTCCTGAAAGCTGAAGTTGAAGGGGAAGAACGTATTCGTTTTGCAAAGGGATTTGCTAGTAAAGGAACACAAATTTCAGAAGGAAAAAATACAGCGTTCTGTTCCTAGTACTGTTCTAGTAATCCAAACCGACGGCAGCAGACTTGTTTGCGGGAAGAACAAAGAGTAAAAGAAAAAATGTTTGTATATTTTGTGATAAATTGCACGAAGGTAAAGATTGCTTTTCTGCATGTAAACTCAAGTTTCAAGAAAAACAAGAAATTTTAAAAAAAGCAAAATGCAGCATGACTTTTGCATTAAGGTGGATTGCCTATTTTAATGCGAATTAATTGGGTGGATTGCCCGTATTACTTAATTATAAATTTCTCTTTGCGTTTCTTTTAATGAAGTACCGACTGAATGAACAAAATTCAGGTAGAGTCTCGTAGCAACTAATGCAGGAGATACAGTTTGTAAGTAGTTTTATAAACTGTTTTCTTGGATAAATATCGAACTTAAATATGTACTTAATAGCATGTATGATATGAAATAAATAACTTAACTTTCTTCGATTTGAAATTACAATTTTTCTACATCACAAAATCTCCAAATTACGCAAAGATGCTTGCGATAATACCAAAGTATCTTTTTTTTTTTTTTTTTTTTTTTTTCTTTTAATTGTTAATTTTTATTTACAGTCGAACGCCACTGTAACGAGCACCCAGATATGAACCCCTCCAATTTCTTACACGCTAAATGTAATTTTGTGCTGCTAAAGCGAACCTCTAGAATTATAAAAATTGGATATAACGAACGGATATCTTGGATTGAAAATTTTATGAATTTTTATATTTTTTACATAATTTCAGCATATTTAAACAGAAAAATATCTAAAGCTTAAAGTTATCCACTTTTAAGATGCTATGTTCCACATTCCATCCGTAAACGAAAGCACCTTTTCTTTAATTTTATTTTTTCTTCATACTCACTTTTCTTCATGTTCTAAACAAAAGCTTTGCAAGACAAGTGTGAACTCAATACGAGGAGAAATAGAACGCAGTAAGCATATATTAGGGAATCATATGGTGTTCCTAACCATCGAAAGACTTTCTATTCAAAGCTGTTGCTATGCTAAAAATTCGGAAATTTTCGCCATCAGGAAAAGAGAAAGTAGTGAATGATATCAGCTGGGGCTATACAGTTGATTCATCTTTTAGGGAATTAAATTTTGTTGGTTATCGATTTATTTTGCTTAAATATGAATGCTCTCCAAGTTATGTCCTTCCAAAAAGGATTGGTAGATGTGGCAATGTTAATCAGTTTTTTTTAATAATTTTTATTTATTTATTAAATCCCCTGAAATGTGACCTTCTCCTAATTTTTTATTATTCGTTATTTGAAAGAAAGCAGTTAAAACGATATAATTTACCTCTCAATTCGTTTCCGAATCCCGCTCCTCCCTACGCGTGTATGAACTTCGATGAATTTTTGTATTTTTTTATTATGCATGAAAGAAAATTTTAACTCGTCGGTTTATTAAACTACGTCTTACATTTATTGTGTCCAGGAAGTTCTACACCAAATAAATTTATAGTATCACAGTTTGAAACTATTATATTCGCAATTTTTAAAAAACATCAAAAAGTATTTTTTAATTATTTATGATTAACTAACAAAGGAATATTTCCATTAAGATAAGGTTACAATTATTTTTTATGATTCTTTTTGCATTTTTCAAATACTAATTTTAATAGGATAATTGTTATAACTTAAAACGGTTAACTTCAATAACGTAAAAAATATATTTAAATGAAAATACAGTGCAGAAAGCACTGCCAAAAAAAATTCTTTTTAACTAAACTACGCCTGATTTAATTGTACAAATCGCAAACTCATTTTTCCTAGAAGACTTATTATATGAAGAAAAAAACTGTTGGCAGTTAAGCTTTTGCTATTTATTTCTATGCCGTAAATTTCCGATCTTTTTGAAGCTCAGAACGTCTTTTATCTGGAACATGCCGAAGCAGATATTATTCTTAAAATGTTTATAAGAAGAGGGATTTTATAAAGTGTATGAGAAAATTTATTAAGAACAAGTTTGGGCAAATTTGAATGCTATATTCATGAATATTAAGAAGTTTATGAAATTTTTCTTGTACGTCCTTGTATATATTGAGAAGAGGACATTCACCAATACTTTAGAAATTTGTAGTCATTCCCCGTGAAGTCCAGGTCCCATCGCTTTATCATTCAACAATAAGATATTTTAATAGCAAAATGTAATTCATGATTTCTTTTAATCAGAATTACAAAATGTGACTAATAATATTTCTAATTAAACTTATTTGATTACACTTTCTTCAAATTTAAAGAAGTAAATAAAATTCTTTAAAATTCTGGAATGTTTTAAGACGAAAATACATTAAAAAAACTAATAAATTTCACGAAAAAATTCAGACTTCAATAAAAACATAGTTGCAGCATCGCTGTTCGCAATTGAACTCTCACACTATCTCCAGAATATCGAATAAAAACCAGAATGTCATTACAGGCATTTCCGAACGGAAAACGTGAAAGCAACCAGCTGCAGTGAGTGGAACTATTTTCTGTATGCGTAGGCCTCTTCCTCCGCGGCAGGGCGTAGTGCAGCCCACTTCCTGTCCGCTGCACCGTTCTGGCGGAGTTTGTGTATATACATCATCAATAGAGACAGAGTCCGAGAGTAATGTATTTGTCGGTAGCCGATCTGCTTTGTTTCGGCTGCAAAATTCTACTCAAAAATGGATTTCACTTTCATCGAACATGACCGAAGGTAGCCCTGATGAGTAAGTTTCCATTACTTTCTAAAATTTTTATCGTGAGTTTAATAGCTCATTTTCATGAGGGATATGCTGATAGGCTTAGCTTTGGCAAGCTTGTTTATTTATTTTTTTAAAGGAACGTTAAGTATGCTTATGTTATCCTGAAACAATATATAAGAGTATTTTTAACATATTATTCTCAAGTAAACAGATTATTAGTCCTTTTTTATGATCCTAGACGTGATGTATTTTTCCCGCGTCTTTTTGGATAAGGCGAAAAAGTGCGGTTTGTGTATGGTTGGTGGTTATTCATGCGGTGTGTACTGAATGAAAGGAAAATCTAATTTTATGAATGAACTGCGGCATGGCTTGAACAGTTACGTGCACGATGTGAGAAAAAACGTAATATCCGTTTTCGGATAATGATGTGAGGTGTGTGATATGTTCCTGTAATAAGGAATGTGTTTATTAAAATTATCTCTCGAAGTAAGATTTTATCTCCTAAAAAATATTTTTTTGTCTGAAATTTCAAATTTGTATGTTCAAATTAAAATATATTTCATATTTAATTATAGCTACCGAACATTTATTAATATGGCAGCACTACTTTCTAAATTTTAGTTGGTTACACAAATTTTTATTGTCCTCAGATTGTTACTATAATTTTGAAAACGACTTATTAGTAATACTTTTTTAAAAAAAAATTGTTACGATAAGCTTCTATAAATAGATTCTTTTAAATTGCGTTTTAAAGAATTAAAAAATAGTTTGTAATAGAAGAAATGCAGAATACAAAAGTTTATAAATAAAAATATAGTTATCCTCCCCCCCCCTTAAGTTTTCTTAAATATGTAATGCTTATCCTTTTAAATTTTCTAAGAATCTCAAATTGGTATGAATTAATTGTAATATTTTACAGTTTTGATTTATAAAAAAAATTTACTTAATAATCATTCTAAGAAGGAAAAAATTTTTAATGTATTTTTTTGAGGGGGTCGGAACTATTTGTAAGAATTTGAAAACTTGCAAGATTATATATGATTTTTATTCATTTATAAAATGTAAAAAATAGAGAGGGAATCTTTTAAAAATTAATTTAAAATAAGGTGTTTTTTGCCTTTAGTTTATTAAAGCTTTCTAACAAAAATGCTAAAAAATTTTGAAATAATTCATTAATTTCCCTGTACCTAAAGAACTTAATGTACTGTATCATAAATTTTATTATCAGTAATAAATGTTTGTTGTAACAATATTTAGAACTTATATTAATAACCCTTATTTGAATTAATTTTATTTTAAACATTTTAGATCAAATAATATATTATGGTAGTATGGCTATTTAAATTAACATCAGTGTTTCTACTAATGATGTGTAATTGGTGAAGAGAAGTTTATTGCAAATATAGCATAAAGATTATTGAGTTACTATTCCGTTTTGAGGTCCATAAAAAAAACTGCAGCAAAAAATGTATGCTCAAAAGGGCCAAATCTAGCAAACACACCCATTTAACAGCGCACTAAATCTAGCATACACGCTGATTTCAAATTGTGTGAGTTTAGATAGTTCTGTATTTCTTAAGACTCCATTGAAATACTAGTTTAATTTTTAAATTCTTTTTTGATAACGCTGTGGATTTTGACAATTTGGGAATTGCCCAGTAACGAAAAGTCTGCAATAGAATTTTTTCAAAGAAAAGGCATCATTCATTATAGAAAATTATGTTTGAACAATCAACGAGATGAAACAATGCTTTAGCGATAACTCGGTAGCCACTCAGTTATGTAGCCCTTTTTTTTATATAAATTATAATAATGATCTGAAATAGTTATTTACTCTCATGTTTCCATTCAGTTATGTTTATTCTTTTTATATAAATTATAATAATAAAAAAGTATTATATGAAATTAACCTTTTATCTAAATTAAAACAATAATCTTAGTTATTTACTATTGTACTCCTTTCTTGCATTAGGGTTGCCACAGTTATTTTTGGCAGCACTGGCATCAACAACAGTTTGGCGATTTTTTACGGTCCGCAAAACGGAATAGTACTGATTATTGTTAGATACTTTTTCCATTATGCATCTGACCATACTTTTTTCTGCTTGTGAAAATGAAGCAAAATACACTCCGAGACTTAATGATAGTGCTATCTGGCTGTATGTGTCTAGATATTATTCTTATAACGAAAAATAGGGAACTACTCTGATATGCACCGAGAATCTCCACGCTGCCATATTACTATCCAAATTTTTTGTCTACATTTTGAACTCTAAGCCTAAAATGTCTCCAAAAACGTGGTTTTCACACATGCAAAAACTACGTTTTGAACACACATTTTAAACTAAAAATCCGAAACAAAAACAAAAAATTTCTCTGTAGCCAGGGGAAAACTTCAGAGAGAGCATCAGTTCTCAGTTTTTAATTCAAAGCCGATTTGGAATATTGAGATATCTTGCAAGCTTCGCGTTTTAGGTGCACTTTGCATAGCGTTTAACCTTATTAATTTGAAGTAAGCTATTACCAGTTCTGTGTGCATTCAATCTGGTATGAACCCATACGCACATAACAATATTATTAAACTCAGTATTGTATTATAAATAGCTAATAACTTGAATTCAAGTGTTATAAAATGGATTTAAATGAATGTGAAGTTCTTTTTAAATTCCATTGGTATGCTGAATGAAAACCTGCCAGAAACTTCCAGATATTGCATGAGAATCGTCCATTTTTTTTTTATATTTCAAGGTTTGCAGCTGTGACATTAAAATTTCCTACAGCCAGCTGATTCACCAAATTTGTTTTGTGAAAAGACTGACCTAGTGGTATTACTCATATTTTATACAGTTTCGCAGGGTTAAAATGCATGGAAAATTTTAGTATGTGTCTGCATTTTCAGATTTGCCTTTTCATATTTTTAAGGTTTTTAATTACATGTGACAATTCAAAAAATTTTATTTCATTAATTAAGAAATGACTCCATTTATATTATTTGCCAGCTTGGTTTTAATGTGAAATTTGCATTTATGTAAATTAAAGTAAGTGCATTTATATAGATATATATTGAAAGAGCTAAAATTCACTGAGTTCGAAAATAAGTTTTTCTAACACTTGCTCCAATAGCTGTAAAGTCAGATAATAATAATTTATTTACTAATGAAATATTGATTATATCATCTCATAATATAAATTTAGTAGAATGTATCAAAAAAGTGGGAACCCATATATATGAAGTTTAATTCCACAAATTGAGTTTTAAAGTAATGTGAATGTAAATCATGAAAAAAAAAAAACTTTTTAAGGGTACAAGTTTTGTAAAAATCATACGAGTAGTTTTTAAAAAATTAGCTCTCAAAATTTTAGCTCCTCAATGTTAATTGAATTTGTCATATATATTTATTAATATCTCTTTTTATTAAACTTTTTTATTTCAAAATTTAGGTTCATTCCAAATAAATTCACCCATTTCTTGTGTTTTATTTTTTAAATAATTTTTATTAATTTTTCGAAAAAAATTTTGAATTATAACCTATAAAATTTTTACCATCATCTTAAAGCAGGTGTAATTCTAAGCATACATGCAAAAAATTAGTTTTTTATTCAAAATTTTCTAAGGTTTACATGAATTTACGTATTTTTGCGTTTTGAAATTTGCCATCTTTTTTTTTTTTTTTTAGCAATAATAACGACAAATGTGGTTTATGGATTTTTGTTACATGAATTGCCACAGCTATTTTTAACCTTTCAAATAAATAAATTAATACAGAGGATTAATTATATGAAATTTTTCCCTCAATGATGCATAATAAATATTTATTAATACTATATGAAAAGTTTTTTTTAAAATTATAGATGATATTATTCCAATTTTAAACTTTTTTTTCTGTGGTGTGTGTGTGTGTGTGTGAAGAGAGTAAATTTTTACTTTCGCCGTGTTATCGTCTGCTACTTTACTTTGACTGCATTTAAAATGTATTGTCTAAAACTGAGAAAGTTAGTTTGATGTTTATTTTCACAATGTTTTTAAGCAAACAGGACATTGACAGTTTGGGGGTTCATATCCCAGCTTTAAAAATTATTTATATAAGTATAAATTTTTACATTAAACCTCTTCGAAAGAATGATTTAAGTAGCTAATTTTCTCTCGTGTTATAGATTGTATAAAAAACATAATATTTAATATAATTTAGATTGTTTGTATCCGATACAATAATTGTGTCACTGTGGTGCAGATTAAACACTGCTGGACTGTTTTATTTCACTTTATTTGTAATTAAAATGCCTAGAAAATGAAAGCTATCTTCAACTGAAATGCAGTTGATGTAATTGATATTTTTAAAAAATTGGCAAGAATGCAAAATTTATGGAAGTGTAACAATCGAAAAACCTTAATTTTCTTGTGGTGAGCACTGAAAATAAATGTAGAAGGAAAGAAGAAAATTAGAGAGAAAAGTTAAGCAAAAATTTGAAGGGGCATTTGGCTGTCACAAATACCAATTTGTTTCGAAAAGTTGGATGCTTTTGAATATACTTTCAGAATACTTCAAGGAATTTGGGTGTTTAAAAAGAAAACACTTGGACGCGTACACCAGCAAATACCATCATTTGAACTTATGCTAACGGAAAAGACGAAAACAATATCATTGCAGATTAAAGTGAAGAGCGACTGGTTTTCGACTATATGTTTGTATAAATTTAATTTAAGTTATAGAACATCATATCATCATAAATGGAGAATTCCATGATTTCTTGGTCAAATTATTATAATATTCAGGAATTAATCCAGTGATGTATGTGAATATCAAGAGGGAAAACAACTAAAGACGTTTTCCATCTAGATGAAACTTTGGTGGTCGTGTGTGCTTAATGCATGATATAATTAAAGTAAATAAGAATAGACGATCTCCTATAACAAAAGAATATATTAAATACTAAATTACAATTTAAATTACATTGCAGAGATCAACACAGAGCTCGGAACACAGTTCGTGCTACCTTCGCGTACAGTTGTGTGACGAGAAGTC